AATGCACTCCCCTCCGCCGCGACAGCAACAATCCCAGCGGCCCGCCGCGCCGCGGCGCCAGCCTGGGCGCCAGCCACAGCCCCAGCCGCAGCCGCCGCAGCCGCAGCCGCAGCCGCAGCCGCAGCCGCTCGCGCCCGTCGCGGCTGGCGCAGGAGGCCCGCGCGGGGAAGGACTCGGCGCCGTCGCGCTCTGCTCGGGCCCCTGGTCGGGAAGACCGCTCAAGCCTTGCCGAAGAAGGAGGGAGGAGCAGGAGGAGGAGGAGGAGGAGGAGCAGGAGCAGGAGGAGGAGGAAAATGAGGAGGAGGGGAGGGAGGGAGGGAGGGAGGGAGGAATGGAGGAGGGAGAGGAAGAGGGAGAGGAGGCGGTGGAGGAGGAGAAAGAGGGGGAGGAGGAGGATGAGGAGGAGGAGGAGGAGAAGGAGGAGGAGGAGGAGGAGGAGGAGGAGGAGGAAGAGGAGGAGGACGAGGAGGACGAGGAGGGCGAGGAGGACGAGGAGGAGAAGAAGAGCCTCGAGCCCAGAAGCCCGCGGCATTGTGCCAGCCCTAGGGGCCAGCCTCGATTGCAAAACCGACTGACTTACCATCCATTGTTGCATCCATTTCCAAACCATACCTTTTACTTTCCTTTTCGACTACATCCTTTTCCCCTCAGGTTACCACGACTTCATCGGCGAATCCAGCGTGGCACCGTCGGCTACGCGAACAGCGAACTCAAGCACGAGTACTGCTACGAGTTGCCGCTGCACGACAACTCCTTGCACACGACATCTACCACCAGCTTTACACAGCGCGCGAGCTCCTCGCTGCGCACCACAGCGTCCAGCAGCCACTTCTGCATCCATCTCAATCTCCAACCACGGCGACATCATGGAAAACAACCGCGATGGGATCGGGATCGGCGCAACCACCGTGGAGATCAGCATCGAGCCGCCCACGATCCAGAGCTACAACACCGAGGCCCGCTGTACCAGCCATCGGTGCAGGACTCGAGCGCTGGAAATGCAAACAAACAAAAAACAACAAAATGGATGGTACAGTGGGCCGACAATCACCCGGACAAGTCCTGGAGTCAGAACCTCTACGGGAAGGGCAATTTCCAGGACGGCAAGGGGATGAACGACCACCGGAATCCCGCCAGCAACAGCCAGAAGGGCAAGGACAAGAACAACTAAGGAAAGGGCAAGACCCATTCCGAAAAGGAACAGACGCCCACGAAGAAAGACGACGGCCAGAATTACAACAACTACTACAAAGAGCACATCACCTACACGATCAACAACGCCATTCCCATGAGGAAAATCTACGCCGTCAGGAGGCACGACTGGGAACTACCTCCCAACGACCATAAGCTGAGGGACGAATGGAAGAAGATCAAGCACGCCGAGGAACGAAGAGCTGCAGCTGCCATCGTCTAAACCCTAAACCCTAAACCCTAAACGGTTACCACCGACGCCGTCACACAGATCGCCTTCATCAAAGCGACGGTCCTCAACAGAGGTCCTCTGGCCCAGCAGGCGAGGGATATTGACATTACCAAGAGGACCGTGGAGGACTACGACGAGCCATTCCATGATCCACCAGCAACAGATTCACGATCTACCCGCGCCGCCGCCACGGATGGCAGAAACCACCCCGCGCAAGTTTGAACCCCCCCAAGCAGCCACCACTCCCATGATCTGAGTACCCTACTCCAGCCTCGGCGGGGGAGGGTACCAGTCACAGGAATGGTGGCTGCTTATGGGGGGGCTTCCTATGTGCAGGGGCGAAGCCTTTCTGCCATCTGCCTTGGCGAGAGTGGCCGGCGCTGCATCGCGCCACCGCTGGGGGAGCGCCCACACCTCCCTCAAGCCTGGTGGAGACCCCCAAAGCGGCCCAGAGGCCGATGTGCCGGGAGCCCTGCGCCTGCTTGCAGGCGAGTGATCCCGCCGTCGGCCTTTGGGCCACCTGCGGGCGACTGCTATGGGCGGAGGGAGAGGCCATTGGGCCTGTCCCCGCTGCAAGCGGCACCCCACAGGGACCCCGCGGAATAACCTGCGCCCTCCAGCCACCACTGCCCCTCCTTTAAAACACGTTTCTCTGCCACGCACCCTCGCCTCGTCGCTTCTTGTCAGCCCCCTACCCCCCTGAGCAGTGCCGCCAGAGCTAGCTGCCCCAACTTGCAGCCAGCCCCGCCGCCCGCCGCCTTTGGCTATGGCGAAGGCCAGGCCCCCAACCGCCACCACGCGCGGCGGGAGACCTCAGTGGGCACTTAAGATGGGGGACCAGGGTGCCCGCCAGGGAGGTGGCCTTATCGGGCCAGCAGACCCGAAGGATGGGGGACCCAACACATGCCCACGGGCCGTCCACCTTACACACGCTGCCGCCGCCGCGCAACAGCCTGCCACGCGTCATCCCTACCTTCTTCCTCCTCCATGTCATGATGATGAACATGTTGATAAGTCCCCTCCTTCTTTCCTACCTCCTGCCATGCCAGACCACGGTCCATAATTTTCTCGTTGTTGCTCTTCTCCCCCAGGGGGGGGCCCGACCGGGCCTCCCTGGGGGAAGCGGCAGCGTTCGACGAACCCCCTTGCCGCCATTGCCGCTTTGCCTCAGGAAGAGGTGGAGGAGAGAGGAGAAAGGGAAGGGAAGATGACTGTCACGGAACACGATCCCGTCCAATTCGTGGTGAGACCTACATTGGAGGAGGAGGAGGAGGAGGAGGAGGAGGAGGAGGAGGAGGAGGAGGAGGAGGGGGATGAGGATGATATGATGAGGAGGAGGAGGAGGAGGAGGAGGAGAAAGAGGAGGAGGAGGTTGGAGGAGGGGAGGGAGGAGAGGAGGAGGAGGAGAAGGAATATTGGGGAAGAGGAGGAGGAGGAAGACGAGGAGGAGGAGGGAGGAGGAGGAGGAGGAGGAGGATCTGGACCTCGGCATCCACGAGGGGCAAGAACACTTTGCATGAGCGGCGCAGGCGGGGCGCCCACCGCCACCTCGGCTGCAACAGCGGACTCCTTCGCTTGCACCGGCGGTGGGCCAGCGGGGGGCGGGGCGGCGTTGGCCGCGCTCGCGGCCATCGAAGAGGCTGAAGAAGCTCGGGCAGCGGGAGGCCCGCCAATGGAGGGCGTAATTGCCTGCAGCTGCTGGGAGTTGGTGTATCCAGTCCCCCTTCCTCCTCCTCCTCCTCCTCCTCCTCCTCCTCCTCCTCCTCCTCCTCCTCCTCCTCCTCCTCCTCCTCCTCCTCCTCCTCCTCCTCCTCTGTCTAGCTCTGTGAACGTGATTGCCTGTCCAACAGTCTCGGCCGCTGCATGGCAGGACACAGAGGGGAGCCACATGCGTGCTGCGCCTCCGTCCGCCGCCGTGCTGGCCCAAGCCTTTTAGAGAGCGGCGACCGCATGCTTCCCAATTTTGTCGTTCATTCAGGGTTCCTTGCGGCTGGGCAATTCGCGGTTGACTGGGCTCGCCACCTCGGCAGCGTCGTGGCGGAGGCTGGACAGCTGGCAGCGGCGGCGGACCAGTTCGGTGGCACGCGCGCCCTCCTGCTGCTGGTCTTCTGCATAGGCACGCTGGCGGGCTGCTGCTGCTGCTCAGTGTGCGCCTTGGCGGGCAGCTTCGTCTGGCATGGCGCTGGTGCTGCGGGCCGGAGCTCGCGTGCTGGTGCAGTGGCGCGCCCAGGAGGACTACCAGGTACGTTTTCTTCTGCGGCCGTCCGACGCCGGCGAGTACGAACGCGAGCTCGGGACTCCTCCGATGATTCCGACGAGTCCAGTGTGGATGGCAGCTACGCCCGACGAGGACATCTATCCGCACGAGCTCGAGGTGCCGCCCATGCACGCGCTGGTCCCGTGCGATCGGATGAGCCAGCCGCAGTGGCGCGACCGAGTCGGAGGATCGGGCCGCCTGGTGGCCCGCCCGACGTACGGCGACCAGTGGTTTCCTCCGCCCCTCGTGTTCATGGACCTTCTCGAGTCCTGCGGCGCGGCGACGCCGGAGGCGGCGGAGGTGTCAGCGCTGGCGGCGAGGGCCGAGGACCAGACGGCCGTGGGTGGGACAGCGGCTCCTTCTGAGGGCCTTGAGCGCGGCTCGGGCAGACTGCCAGCAGTCGGCAACCAGCGCTGGCTCATCACGGCTAGCGAGGACGACAGCGAAGTGAACGTGCGAGGGCTGCGAGTGGTGCGCGATGAGCGGCGGACTGGCCATCGCGAAGGCAGGCGGGAAGTGCTACCTGGTCAAGGCGGTGACGGAGAAGGAGGCTGAGAGCTCGATGGACGCCCGCGCGATGCCGATCTCGTACGGGCTCGACGGCGAGAGGAGGCGGGTGTTCAAGGATGCGGTGCGCGGCATGACAGAGACGGCGTGGTCGGGATGGCCCGTCAAGGGCCCGCGCACCGCGCTCTGGTGCGTCCGCTTTCTCGCGGGGCAGGACTCACATCCGCGCGCCCGCCACTCCAAGTGGCGCGCGGAGTGCGGCCTTGGGCCGGGCGACGTTGGCGTCTCGGACCACGAGCTGGCGATGCGGGCGCTGGAGCTCGGCGCGGGCTTCGACCAGCTCAACTTGACCGAGCTGTCGCTGGTGGAGCTCCTGGTGCGCCGAGCCCAGCTCGCGGAGTGGCGGCACCGGGAGCGGCCGCTGAAGAGCAGCGGCGACGAGTACCTGGAGGACGAGTACCTGTACATGGGGACCTCGGAGACGAGGGGTCTGCCGATGGTGTGCCCGACGCTCGTGGAGCACATCCAGGCGGAGCTCCACAAGGAGACCACGCTCATGAAGGAGAATCTGAAGCTTCGCGAGGAGAGGATGCTGTCGCGCGGCCAGAGCTCTGGCGGCGGCGGCAACATGGCGCTGCACGACAAAGCGGCGGCGCAGGCGGCAGAGATCAGCAAACTTCAGGCGAAGCTGAAGGGCCCCCACGCCGGCAAACCAGACGCCGGCGGGGGCGGAGGCCGATAGCTCATGGTGGTCGCTCGGGAGCTGCTGCCCTGCCCTGTCCCCGTGCCCGGCCGAGACTGGAACAGCGGGGGATGCCGGGCGGCGCGCTCTCGGGCTCGGCAGCGTCAGCACGCTGCGCGGCGCGGTGGCTCTCTGAGGCTTTGCTTGCTACAAATTCATTGCACGGGCATGGGGCTCCACGTCAGGATCTTCAAGTTTCGCGCGCCCAGCTCGCTGGCATCGACCGCGTCCGCGAGATCATCCGAGAGGCGGGGCCCCCGCCATTTTCAGGGACGGCAGCTCACGCCGAGCCGTGCTCTCACTTGCCGGGTTACGCAGAAGACACCGCGCGCCGAGCCTCCTACTCCGAGGGGCTGGTCTCCCTGCCGACCATGGGCGGCCAGTGCGTTGGCGCCGACTGCCTTACTGGTCGTGCTCTTGAGCTGTGGGTAGGATGGCAGAAGCATCTTCTTCGCGAAGAAGGGCCGCCTGACGGACCTCGACTTCGACCTTTCTCCGATCCGAAATTAGTGCATGGCAAGAAGACGCACGCCCGTTTCATTGGGGAGCTGCTCGTCAGGGGCCTGATCGACCTCGGCGAGCGGACCGAGCCTACGGTGGGCATCTTCTTTGTGTGCATGAGCGACAAGCGATCCCTCCGCATGATTGCGGACACGCGGGTGGCGAACATGCGGTTCCGCCCCCCCGCGCACTCGGAGCCCCCGACTGCGGGGGCTTGGAGCAGCCTGGCCGTGCCCGAGGGGAAGTCCCTCCACTTGGCCCAGATGGACGTGGACAACGCGTTCTACAGGATCGCCACACCGCCTGGGCTCCGCGATCACTTCGTGCCCCTCGCGGTCGACCTCGACGTGCTGCGGGCCGAGCGGCCTGACTTGTCCGCCCAGCTTCTACCGGGGCGAAAGGCGTCGCCCCGATTGGCCGTCCTAGCCATGGGCTGGAACTGGAGCCCCCTCTTCTGCCAGCAGAGTGCGGAGACGCAGGTCCTCCGCAGCGGGCTGGCGTGGGAGAGGCTGGCGCGTGACCGGCACCCCACCCGTCGCTCGAGGAGGGGCCCGCCGCGGCAGTCTACGTTGACGGGGCCGCCGTCATCGGCCTGGACTACACGGAGACCATGGCGACGGCGCAGCGGGCACGTGAGTCACTGGGGGCCGTCGGCCTGAGGTGCAAGGTGCTCGAGGGGCCGTGCGCGGAGGCGACCTTCACGGGCCTGGTGTTCGACGAGGCGAGGGGCCGCGTCGGACTCAATCGTCGGCGCATGTGGCGCATTCGCCTAAGCTTGTTGCACGTTGCCGACCGCGGGTCGGCGACTGGCGACGAGATGCGGGTGCTCCTCGGCCACTTCACCTGGGGCGCGCTGGTGCGACGGGAGCTGCTGTCGATCTTCTCGGCGACCTACCGCTTCGCGTCTTGGGCTGGTGGGCGGCGGCGGCGCCTGTGGAGCGCCGCGGAGGCCGAGCTCCGCATCGCCGCTGCGCTCGTGGTGTTCAGCTACGTGGACTGCCGCCGCCAGGCCGACCCCGTGGCGTTGGCGACCGACGCCTGCGGGGCGACGGACGCCGACGCAGGAGGGTTCGGCGCGGTGCACGAGCCGCGCCTGGGACCCGCGGGACGTCGGCCGGGCGTGCTCGCAGGCAGAGCGGTGGCGCTACCGCGTATCAGAGGCGGCGGCAGCTCGGGCGCACGCCCTCGGGCTTTCGGAGCGCCCGCACGTTCCCGACAGCTTGCCGCCGCCTTCGGGAGCCGACAAAAATCAGAGTCCATGTAGTCAGGGGTCTTGCATCTTGGCCAAGTCTACACCTCTTGCGAGGCCCCCGCACCCAGTCTCGGACTTTGAGCGGACGTTCGGGGACATGTACTCTGGGACCGTCTCGTTCGAGCAGATCACCTCGGAGCACGTCGGCCCCCTCGAGTCGTGGCTGCTTCGGGTCAAGGGCAGGTTCAGCAGAGCCGAGAACATCATTCGTCTTGAAGGGCACGGGGTCGTGATCGGCATTCGTCATCATCTTCGGGCTGCCTCTCGTCGTGGGCGCAAGCTGCTCGCGCTGTGCGACAACTTGGGCCTCGTGCTGGCCCTGGGGAAGGGCTGGGCGGCCGGCCCCCGTGTGAACAAGACATGCCGCGAGGCCGCCGCGCTAAGCATCTTCGGGGACATGTCGGTGACCGTTCGGTGGATCCCCTCGGAGCTCAACCTGGCGGATCGACCCTCTCGCATGGCTGGCGCCCTGGCTCGAGACCCGCGCGCGGACCCGCGCAGTGCCTGCTTCGACCCCGCGGCGGCGCCGTTGGCCGATGCGCCTGCTGCGCTGGCCGCGGCAGTGGACGAGGCGCTCCTGGGCGGCGAGCTCGACGGGCTGGGGCGACCGCGGGTGGGCTTGGCGGGCCTGGGAGACGCTCTCCTGGACGACCCGCTGCCCGGCGGCGCGGCGCGCCTGCGCGCTGAAGCGGCAGCCGGCTGCGACGCGTGGGGCGGGCAGTCTAGCGCCCGTGAGTTCGCTCAGCCTGGGGGGGCTGGCCGTCTTCAGAGGACGAGAGCAGTTCAAGTTCAGACGCGGGCTCCAACGGCCGCGAGGCCGACTACCCCCGGCGGGCCGGCGCCTGACACGTGTGCCCTTGCCGGCGTTGGGCGGGCAGCTGACGGCGCCGCAGGCGAGGGTGGCCGAGCGGATCGGCCGCCGGGCTACCCTCCGCCGCGCTACCGCGGCGCTCGCGGCGCCGGCCAGGTCGCCCGGCAGCGACCTCGCGCTGAGCTTCTTGGAGAGCAGGCGTGTGACGGACAAGAGCCGCGACACGCTGGGCCGCGAGGAGGGGGCGTTCAGGGCGTGGTGCCTGGAGCAGCGGAAGGACGTGAGCTCGAGGGCTGCGCTCGACGAGACGCTCGTGGAGTACCTGGACTGCCTGTACTTCGACGGCTACAACCACGAGAGGGGCGACAAGCTGCTGTCGGGCCTGGCGTTCAAGGGGCCAAAGTTCAGGCGCGGCGGCGAGCTGGACCTTGCGCGGGCCCGCGCTGCCCTCCAGGGCTTCCGCCGCCTGGCGCCTGGGCAGGCCAGGATGCCGCTGCCGCGGCCGGAGTTTGCGGTCGTCGCGATGGGCTTGGACTTCGGGATCAGCCTGGCGATCGCGTGGGACGGAGGACTGCGGCTGCCGAGCGACATCATGAGCCTGCAGGGCCGGTCGCTCATTCCCCCCCCACCAAGCTCAGGAGTCCAGAACTGGGGCCTGCTGTTGTACCCCGCCCAGGCCGACGGCCCGGCCGGAGCAAGGCGGGGCACAAGGGCGAGGGGCTGTTGCTCGACGGGGTCTTCACGAGGGGCATCGAGCCCCAGCTCTGGCGGCTCAAAAGGGCAGCCGGGGACAGCGGCAGCTTGTGGACGTTCACGGCTGCAGAGTTCAGGGCGGGCTTCAAGCGGGCGGCCGCCATGATCGGTCGGCCGCCCTTGCGCCCGTGCCAGGTGAGGCACGGAGCTGCGAGCGACGACGCGCTGTACCAGAGGCGGTCCCTCGCCGAGATCCAGGAGCGCTTGCGGCATGCATGCCCAAAGAGCACGCTAAGGTACAAGAAGCACACTCGGTACCTCGCGGAGCTCGGAAAGGCGCCCCCACGAGTGAGAGCGTACGGGGAGGCAGTGGAGGCACAGGCCGCGGCGCTCCTGAACGGACGCGTGGCGCTGCTGCCGCCGCGCGACCTGGCCGCAACGGGGCGTTGAAGGCCGGCCGCGTGCAGCGGCTGGGCGACACGCTCCTGCGGAGCAGGCCGCTGACCGCAGCTGCGATCCGAGCGGGTCTGAGCGAGTCGTTACTCAAGGAGCTGGGCGATCAGGCCTCGTGTTATCTAGATATTTTCTCAGGTGCGGGCGGTGTCGCCCGCGCCATCAGGCGCTTGCACAGCGCTTGCCTCGACATGGATCTCAAACATTCAGAGTTTTTCGATCTGTCCTTAAAAGTGGTCGGACAGACCATAGTGGGTTGGATCGCCAGTCGCCATGTGCTTGCTGTCGCCGCCGTTTTTCCGTGCTCGACCTGGTCGCAGGCTTCGCACAACTGTTATCGCAATCCCAGTCACATATATGGCCACCCTCATCTCGAGGGGGAACCCTTGCAGCGCTTGTTAGTAGGAAGCGCAACTCTCACTGTCACTCAGATGGTCCTCCGCGCGTGCGTGCATCACGGTGTGCCGGTCGTGTGTGAGAACCCTCTAAGCAGCTACGCCTGGCAAGAACCTGTCATGCGGCAGCTTTCAGCACACCCTCGCTGCCGGGATGCCATCTTTGATATGTGCCAATTCGGGACAGCCTGGAGAAAGCCCACGCGGCTGCGGTCCTGGAATTGTGTAGTGCCCCCCACGCAGCTGCGCGCCCGCTGTCAGAGCGCCCGTGGAGCATGCTCTGCGACAGGCTGGCCGCACCTTATTTTGCAAGGGCCTGGTCCAAAAGGCGTTCGGCGAAGCCGGATCGCCGAAGAATACCCCAGCAGGCTTTGTGCTCAGATTGCCCGCTGGCTCGTGCTGAGCGTCGAAAAGCTCCGCGAGCTGCGCCTGCGTCGTCTGGCCGATTGTTGAAGCATGCGGCCTCAAGGGCACAGTACGGGATCGGGCGGAGCGGTGCTCCCTCGGTCGCTTGCAAGCTGGAAGCCGCTCAAATCGTACAACCTTCATTCTGGCCTAAGAAAAAGGGACCGGCATGTCTAGCTCTGTGAACGTGATTGCCTGTCCAACAGTCTCGGCCGCTGCATGGCAGGACACAGAGGGGAGCCACATGCGTGCTGCGCCTCCGTCCGCCGCCGTGCTGGCCCAAGCCTTTTACCTCCCTTTCCCCTCCTGCCTCCCTCTCCTGTATAGCCTTTCTTGCAACTAATTCTGAAGAAAGGGCGGAGCGGTGCTCCCTCGGTCGCTTGCAAGCTGGAAGCCGCTCAGATCGTACAACCTTCATTCTGGCTTAAGAAAAAGGGACCGGCACTCCTCTTCCTCCTCCGCCGCCTCCTCCCTCGTGTGGCCATCCCTGCGCCGACTCCGTGACACGTGCAGTTTGTCTCGCTGCCCGAGTCCAGGGAGTTCAGGCGGGCGGCACCTGCACTTTGGTGGCATGTGCGGCTCCGCCAGGCCCAGAGGTTGCACGAGCCCGCTCGCCGTCGTCGGGCTCATCCGTTCGGCCTCAGCATGGCCAAGGTATCAATGGAGCCCTTCGGAGAGGCGACCCGTCCTCCTCCTCCTCCTCCTCCTCCTCCTCCTCCTCCTCCTCCTCCTCCTCCTCCTCCTCCTCCTCCTCCTCCTCCTCCTCCTCCTCTCTCCTCCTCCTCCTCCTCCTCCTCCTCCTCCTCGACTCCCTCCTCCTCCTCCTCTCCTCCTCCTCCTCCTCCTCCTCCTCCTCCTCCTCCCCCACCCTCCTCCACCTCCTCCTCCCTCCATCTCCTCCTCCTCCTCCTCCTCCTCCTTCTCCTCCTCCTCCTCCTCCTCCTCCTCCTCCTCCTCTTCCTCCTCGGGTCGCCTACGGCCCCTGGGGAAACCGTGCATGCACGACCCCGCTCGCCGTCGTCGGGTTCATCCGTTCGGCCTCAGCATGGCCAAGGTATCAAAATTCTTGATTGGCATTGGTAGGCGATGCGCTTCACCTTTGCATCGTTTTACTTGCCACAGCGTGAGAATGCCAACAAGGGCTTGTGTCGAGGTTATTTGACGCTGTCAAGTCTGGGGCACGCATTAACGATTGCGTGCTGATCGCTGCCGATTTGGATGCCGAGTTGGGCTCGCGAGAGTGCGTTGCCAAGGAAAGCCTCCTGAGCAATTTCACCAGGTGCCGTCGCACTGAGCGAGGCGAGTGGCTTCGTCATGAGGCGGCGCGACATCCGAGGTAGGGATTCGATGATCACTACGATCTTGCACAGGGTACCTCAATAGATGGGATGGCCGTGCGTCACTACCAACTCCCGAGGGTGCTTACCGTACGTGTCGTTGATACATTACGCACGCTTACTGACATAGGGCGCTGACCGGGCAAGTGGCGTGCAAACATTCACCCAGCTGGACTGATGGGCAGCCGATCGGGTGGCGAGTGCGGCAGCCCGAAGACTTCCTCCACAGGGTGGCGCAGGACATGAACGTCACCGACGGCTTGTCAGAAATGTCTCAGTTGGTAGGTCGGGCGGCTCGGACTGCCATGGTGGCCGGCTATAGGCTAGCAGGCAGACGCAGCACGCACCGATCGGCGGCGCTCTCATGGGCGCGAGGCGCTGCGGCGGGCTGCCACGACCCTGGGGCCGAAGACAGCTTGTGCACGGCAGGTATGGGCTGAGCGATCGACAATCGCGGTCGACAATCGCCTTCATGCCGCATGGCGTTACGACATCCTGTTGAAGGAGGTGCATCATACGCACGACGTTCAGTACCACGCCGAGCACTTTCACAACAAGCACTTCACAGAGCCACTTGGGGTACATAGCCCTCTACCTGATGGCGTGTACGGTGAATTATCCCAGTGCGACCCTACCTAGGAGTTGGAGCCTCTAGGAAAGCAACATTAGTAGGAGCGGTAAACGCCGTCCTCCTCCTTCTCCTCATCGCCGTAGCTGTAGCAGTAGTGGTAGTAGTGGTAGTAGTAGTAGTAGTAGTAGTAGTAGTAGTAGTAGTAGTAGTAGTAGTAGTAGTAGTAGTAGTAGTAGTAGTAGTAGTAGTAGTAGTAGTAGTAGTAGTAGTAGTAGTAGTAGTAGTAGTAGTAGTAGTAGTAGTAGTAGTAGTAGTAGTAGTAGTAGTAGTAGTAGTAGTAGTAGTAGTAGTAGTAGTAGTAGTAGTAGTAGTAGTAGTAGTAGTAGTAGTAGTAGTAGTAGTAGTAGTAGTAGTCGTAGTAGTCGTAGTAGTAGTAGTAGTAGTAGTAGTAGTAGTAGTAGTCGTAGTCGTAGTCGTAGTAGTAGTAGTAGTAGCAGCAGTATTATTATTAGTAGTAGTATTAGTAGTATAGTAGTAGTAGTTAGTTAGTAGTAGTAGTAGTAGTAGTAGTAGTAGTAGTAGTAGTAGTAGTAGTAGTAGTAGTAGTAGTAGTAGTAGTAGTAGTAAGTTAGTAGTAGTAGTAGTAGTAGTAGTAGTAGTAGTAGTAGTAGTAGTAGTAGTAGTAGTAGTAGTAGTAGTAGTAGTAGTAGTAGTAGTAGTAGTAGTAGTAGTAGTAGTAGTAGTAGTAGTAGTAGTAGTAGTAGTAGTAGTAGTAGTAGTAGTAGTAAGTAGTAGTAGTAGTAGTAGTAGTAGTAGTAGTAGTAGTAGTAGTAGTAGTAGTAGCAGTATTATTATTATTATTAGTAGTAGTAGTATTACTAGTAGTAGTAGTACTACTACTACTACTACTACTAGCAGTAGTAGTAGTAATAGGAGGAGGAGCTGTTGCTTTGCGTTGCTTGTGCTTTGCTTTGCTGTCGCTGCTGTTGCTTTGCCTTTACTTTGCTGCTGTGCTATGCTTTGCTCTGCTATGCTATGCTACGCTATGCTGCGCTGTGCTATGCTGTGCTGTAATGTGCTGCGCTATACTATGATATCATATGCTATGTTGCGCTATGCTATGCTGTGCTGGGCTATGCCATGATATGCTGTGCTGCGCTATGCCACGCTATGCTATGCTATGCTGTGCTCTGCTATGCTAAAGCTCGGCGAAGCTAAGATGAAGGTAAGCTAAGCTAAGATAAACCTGAGCTAAGATGAAGCTAAGCTAAGCTAATATGAAATAAGCTCAGCTAAGATGAGATAAGCAACGCTAAGCTAAGGGGACGTAACTGGGGGAACCGCGGGGCGGATGCCGGGGAAACCGCCCGGGGCGTTTTCCACTGCCCGGTCCCTTTAAGCAAAGAGGGTAAGAACCCTTCTAGGCAGAGCCTAGGTAGGGATGAAGATTCTGGATGTTTCCCAATGCACCACGTGCTGAAAAGCATTCTATCACATAATGGAGAACTGGGTCCCCAGACCCTGGGCCGGAGCATTTTTCCAAAACTCACCCCCCGGCTTCTGGGCGGTGAGCAGTTGCTTGCCCGTGGCCTGCAAGACGGCCTTGAGGAGCGTGATTAGGTGGCGGGGTCAGCTGGCGTGGGCACCCATGCCACATGATGCTGGGCACGACGGGCTTGGCCGGTTGGATGGCAACGCCGCCACCAGCCGGGGGCTCGAGCGCGACAGGGCTGCCCCTCCGCGTGCGCCTCCAGAGGCGAGCGGGCCCCGAGGTGCCTGCCGAAGGCGCCCTGTGCATCGCCAGCTCCCCTGGGCCTCGTGGAGGCGACGGCTGCAGCGGGGTAGGCTCGGGGGGACGGGGGAGGAGGAGGAGGGGGAGGAGGAGGAGGCGGAGGAGGAGGAGGAGGAGGAGGGGGAGGAGGAGGAGGAGGAGGAGGAGGAGGAGGAGGGAGGAGGAGGAGGAGGAGGAGGGGGGAGGAGGAGGAGGAGGAGGAGGAGGGGGATGGGGGGGGGAGGAGGAGGAGAAGGAGGAGGAGGAGGAGGAGGAGGAGGAGGAGGAGGAGGAGGAGGAGGAGGACGTGGGCGGCACGGCGCCACGAGCGGGGGGGCTGCTCCCCGGGGCAGGCTCGAGGAGCGCCAGCGGCGGCAGCGGTTTCGGCCCGCGGCTGGCGCGCCGCCCTCGGGATGCTCGCGTGCGCCCCGGGCTGCCGGCTGCCTGCGGGGCAGCAGCGGCACCGGGCGCCATCGCCAGAGCACGTCCACATCCACCGCTTTGGAGTCGTGCCCCCGAAATCTCGAGGAGTGGTGGACGAGGGATGCCTGCCCGCCCGCATGGGCGGGCGGGTCTCCATATCCACTGCTCCCCGAGTCCCTGGGACGCGACCCCGCGGCAGTGGGATGCGGACACGTTCTGGCGGCGCACGGGCGCGCAGCCGCCGTGGCCAGCCGACTCGTTGGCCTCGGCTGCCGCCGCTGGACGCCGCTGCGCAGTGGGGTGGGAGGAGAGAGGGCTGGACGCAGCGACCACGCGGACAAGCACCCGAGCATGCCCCCTCGCCGCGCGTTGCCTGCGATGCCAGGCTGGTTCGGGCCAGGGCCTGGCCTGGCCGGCGCCGTGGCTGCGTCGAGTCGCAGCACGCCGGGAGATCCGGCCCCGATGGATCGTGCGCCCTCCTGCGGACGGGCGGGCGCCCTGCACGACCTTGCAGGGCTCGAGCCCAGGCAGGAGGGAGGAGGCAGGTTGGAGGAGATAGGAGGAGGAGAAGGAGGAGGAGGAGGAGGAGGAAGAGGAGGAATGGGGAGGAAGGAAAGGGGGAAGGAAGGGAGAAAGAGAGGAAGGGAGGAAGGGAGGGAGAAAGGGACGAGGGACTAGGGACTGGGTAGGATGAGGGAGGGAGGAGGGAGACATGACGGAAGCAGGGGAACCGACCTTCTGCCCCCGCCCTCTATTCCAGGACGATTCTGGCGGGCATCGCATCTTCGTCTCGGCGCTCCCGGAGGAGTGCACCAACGAGGACGGGTGGTCTGGGAGCCGCGGGGCGAGCGGACTTGGGGGATGGAGGGCCCATCAAGCATTTATGTTTGTCGACTTGAGCTTGCAGTTCCTGCTCCTCCTCTTCACAATCATCCTCATCCTCATCCTCATCCTCATCCTCATCCTCATCCTCATCCTCATCCTCCTCCCTCTCGTACACCTCCTCTTCCTCCTCCTCCTCCTTCTCCTCCCCCTCCCTATATCTCTCTCCTCCTCCCTCTCCTTCCCTTCCGACCTTTAGCGTGGCCTTGCACTGTTTGGGTTCAGCTCTCAGCAAGAGGCTGAGTCTGTCGGGGCTTGTGTGATCGCCGTCGGCAAGCTGTGCCGCCCCTCGAAGGCCTTGACCCCTGTCTCGCTTGGAGTTCAGGCTATATACATGCGAATGTGGTGGCACCTTCCCAGCCGTTGCCTAGCTCCTTCTCCCGTTTCCTCCTCCTCGTCCTCCTCCTCCTCCTCCTCTCCCACCGCTCCTCTCCTCCTCCGTCCTCCTCCTCCTCCTCCCTCCTCCTCTCCTCTCCTCCTTCATCCTTCTCCTCCTCCTCCTCCGCCTCCTCCTCCTCCTCCCCTCCTCCGCCTCCTCCGCCTCCTCCTCCTCCTCCTCCTCCTCCTCCCTCTCCTACCCCTCCTCCTCTCCCCCATCCCCCTCGCCCTTCTCACTCGCCCTCCTCCCTTCCCTCCTCCTCCCTCTCCTTCTCCCTCCTCCTCCCTCCGCCCAACAGCTGCAGGAGCTGGAGCACCTGGCGACGCAGCTGGACCTGCGCCAGCCCCTGGAGCTGTGCAGGAGCGGCCGCCCGGCCGCCGGCCTCCCCCTCACAGCCTGCCTGCCGCGCGGGGGCGCGCGGAGGGGCCCGGCGCGTCGATCGCGCCGCTGTCTCCAGAGGGGGCCGCGCGAAACTCGCCCCGAGCGGCGCTGTGTTAGGGCAGAAGGCGTTCGCGCAGCGCGCGCGATGCCGAGGGCGGCGCGCTCGGAGCGGCGTCGGCCCGAAGCCTCCCAGGGCGCACGCGACTCGATGGGTCGGTCGAGGTTCGAGATTCGAGGCCACGCCGGTCCCAATCTACTTTAGGCGCCTTCCTACGTCCCTCTTCCTTCCCCTTCAGGGGGCGGGCGGAAGCCCGAGCGACCTCCAGCGCCTTCCCGCCTCGTGTTTCTGCCCACTTCTTCCGACCTGCGTGCAGGCGTTGCCGCATCGTGGACCTCTGGAGGCCCTTCAAGGGCCCCCTGGCCGTCAGAAGTCGACGCGGGCCGAGAAGCTGCACAGGACGGGGTCTGGGCGAGGTCTAGGGCCTGTTCTCGAAGTAGGCTTGCCTATAGGAGTCCAAGCTCAACGCGTAGAGACCTGGTCCAGTGATGCCCCCCCGTCGGTGTTGCCTTCGTATCGCCAAAAGATTGCCATGGCTTCCTCTGCTTCTGCAGTGGCCTCCTGTGGCTCCTTAAACGGCGCCCCAACAATCGCCCAAGGATAGTCAAACTAAGACATCGAGTAGAGTAGAGCAGAGCGGAGTACGGCAGAGCAGAGTAGAGTAGAGTAGCGTAAGGTAGGGTAGGATAGATGGGCAGAGTAGAGCAGAGTAGAGTAGAGTAGAAAAGAGTAGAGTAGAGTAGAGCATAATGGAATAGCGTAGAGTAGAGTAGAGTAGAGTAGGAGTATAGTATATAGTATATTATAATCGAGCTGAGTTCGTGCGGGTAGGGCAGGGTCGAATAGAGTGGGGTAACTTGTAACATATTATAGTAGAATAGGGCGGATGGGCAATTGGAGTCGGGAGTGACAGAATTAGAGCATATAACAAAATCGAGGAGATGAGAGGGCAGTAGAGTAGAAGTAGAGTATAGCAGAGCAGAGTAGAGCAGGGTAAATGGTAGAGTAAAGTCGGTTACAATGGTGTAGAGTAGAGTGGAGTAGGGTAGGGCAGTGTAGAGTAGAGTAGACGGTCTAGTAGAATCGGGTCTGGTGTGGAGTCGAATAGGTCGGAGCATATTAGAGTAGAGTAGGTAGAGTAGAGCAAAACAGAAAAGAAGAGTCGAGCATCAGAAAGTAGAGTAGAGCAGAGCAGACTAGAGTCGAGCCTAGCAGGGGACAGTGCATTTGAATGGGTGGCAAGGAAGAACACAGTCGATCAGTGGTAGACCAGTGTAGAGTAGATTCGAGTAAAGTAAAGTAGAGTACAGTCGATTATGTTAGAGTAGAGTTGGTTAGGGTAGGTTGAGGTGGGGTTGAGTAGAGTAGGGCAGAGTAGGTCAGAGTAGAGAGTAGAGTAGGATAGAGCAGAGTGCAGAAGAACAGAGCAGAGCAATGTAAATTTGAATAAAGTAGAGTAGGGTAGGGTCGAGTAAAGTAGCGTAAAGCAGAGCAGAGTAAGGTAGATGGTAGAGTAGAGTCGGGTAGAGTAGAGCAGAGCAGAGTAGAGTGGATTAGAGACGAGTAGATGGGCAGAGTAGAGCAGACAGTGGTGTATAATACAGTAGAGTAGAGACAAGTAGAGTTTTTAACTTAACTATAGCGTAGCAGAATCGAGCATAGCAGAGCACAGTATAATAAAGTATATGTTGATAAAAGTATAGCCGAGTAGGAGTAGTGCAGGTTAGATTTGGGTAGGGTAGGTCAGAGTTGAGTAGGGTAGAGTACAGCAGAGCAGAGTAGAGTGGGGTAAATGGTAGACCAAAGTAGGGTTGATGATAGGGTGGAGTCGGGTAGAGTAAAATAAAGTAGATAGGGCAGAGCAGGGTTGGGTAGAGTAGAGGAGAGTAGAGGTGATGAGACCTTACGAGGCTGGAGTAGAGTAGGAGGAAGTGGTACGTACAGCGGAGATCACTACAAAGACGGGTACAGCGACGTGTACAGTGACGGGTAGAACTGAACCATAGAGGAACACATCTTTCCACACAGTGACGCGTCCCTGGTCCGGCGAGTGGTGTGCGATGCGAACAGTACGCCGCAGAATGTGGTAACTCTCCGTAAACGCGGCTGGACACGCCGACAACGTGATCATGAATAATATGTTTTGATTGTTTGGCAGTGCACGTGGGGTCGGCCATCATCTTTCCACTCCTTCGCTTTTCCACGACCTCATACACTCCGAGCGCGTTGTCCCAGCCGCCCTGGTGGGAGAGTTGCCTCTGTGTGCCTCTCCTCTGCCTACGCGTCCCTGTGGATGCTTGGCTTCGTGCGTGCGTGCAAGAGTAGGAGTAGAATAGAGTAAAAAGATTAGGGTAAGGAATAATCGGAAAGAGTAGACTACGGTAGGTTCGCGTCGTGCCGACCGGCGACGACCCCGCCGCCAGCGTTAAACGTTGAGCGCCGCTGGCGACCCAGAATCGGTCGATGCTGGAAGATCTGACGCTTCGGAAGCGGCCGATCGTTCAAGGTTAGACGGTCCCCGCGGTGTCAGGAGCCAAAGCCAGGGTCGACACGAGACGAAACCGCGGTAGATCAGGGCAGGGCACCCACGGATACACAGCAGATCCAGTCCGTGCTTGCGGCCAGCTCCGCCAGCAGGCCTCCCGCGTTCGAGCGCCCAGCTGGTGCGGAGAACGAGTGGCCGCGCGCAAGCCCCACTGAGAGACAGCCTGCACAGATACGGATCTCAGCAGCCACAAAGTGGCTCGGCTGCAGCAGCCACGGCATGGCTCGGCTTTACGTGGGCAATAATTGGATGCGCCAGCAATGCCAGACAAGAGAAAGGGCAAGGACAAGCTCATCAAAGTTGACCTCTGTCCACCTCAACACCGGAAGGTTCCAGGCCCAGCTGACCTCAGTACCGGAAGGTTTGCCCCTCCATTACGGTTATCTTTTACATCGTAAGGGAATTAAGCGTGCAGCCTGGACCCCGCCCCGAAATCTACTTCGGGCGTTGTGGTGTGTTTTGTTTTGTTGTCGTTTTTTCCCGTAGGTGGCGCCCCCTGCCCGTCCCTCCTCCCCCACCGCCCTCCGTCTGCGGTTCCCACCCCATCTTCCCTTCGACAAATGAAGCAATGTTTTCTCAGTCATTGCAACCCCGCGAGACCTATTCGGGCACTGGCATGCTCCCGCCCCGTCCCAGCCGCGCGCCTGGCACGTTCGCCGCCTCGACGCGCCCCCAATGCCTTCGGTGCCCCCCATCATTGCGGGATGCAGGAGATCACCTCGCCCGCCGCCGCGCAGCGGTCGCGCGCCCCGAGCCAGTGCCACCGTTGGGTTTTGCACACTCGGTGACGCGCTCCTCGTCGCACGCCTTCAGGTTCTGCGAATTCTGCTTGGCAGATGTCCACTAACCGTCCGGCGCCTGCGCGCAGCCCTGCGCGACGTACTCCTTGGTCGTGGGTTTCCCCGCCTTGGTTTGCGCGGCCACCGCGTGCGTCCGCTTCGCCGCGCAGATGGCGCCGCGGCGGCCCGAGTGCGGCACCGAGTCGTGGTAGATGTTTTTTTTGACAGCCACTTCCGTGGGCGCGCCATCTGACTGCACCAGGGTCGCTATACCCACCCGTTTCTTGTGCAATTGGGCCCGCTCCGCCTTGCTCATCGGCGGCCGCGCCGCCCGACCCGTCGTCTCCGCGCGGGACGACATGCTAGTCGCAGCGGGTTTCTTCGCCAAATACAAGTTGGAGAGGTCCCCGCGCCTCGCCAGTCCGACGAACTCCTGCCACTGGACTCGGTTGTGCTCCGCGTCCTGCTTGCGGAGCATTGTCTCGTCGGCTTCGGTCTCGTTCAACACTCTTGGGTCTAAGGCGGCGGCGTCCTGTCCTTAGCAGATGCCGTCTTGCTCGGGCACCGCGTACCCAGCGAGCACAAACCTCCAGTCACCGTAAATGCTCCCCACGGCTTGGTCGAACACGTTCTCGATGATGAAGTGCACGACCTTGGTTGGGACGCCCCAGGCAGCAGCGCGTAGAACGGCGGCTTGCTTCCCCAGCGCGAAGTGCGCGTCCTGGCCAATGGGCACGGAGAACACTGGCGACCCATTGCGGGGGTCGTTTCACTTTTGGCAGCCCTTCGAGCGGCAGCGCATCATGCACCCGCCAGTGTCAGGGTGGGCGGACGGGGGTTTGAGCTGCCCCAAGCTGCAGTGCACGCGCGCGGCTGGTTTGTCAAAGCGGCCGCGGCGCCAGAGCACGCGCGCGAGCTTGCCGCTTGCCCTTGCTCATGCGCAGGAGGAGCTGCAGCTTCACCATGCCTGCGGCGGCGGCGCAGATGAGACGCGCCTCGGCGCGGTGATCTGGCGGGGCGGCGCGCGCGGCACGTCCTCGCGCGAACCCGAACGCCTTCGCCGCGCACGCCCGCCCCACAGACCCCCCTCCCTTTTCCCCCGCGCCCCCATTATCTCGAAGCGGGCGCGCATGCGGGGGGGGCGGTTGCGCTCCGACCAGGGCCCTTGCTAGCTGGGGACGGCTTCTTGCGCGTCCTCGCGCAGAGCCACTTTTCCCCCTCGCGCGCCCTTTCGACTGGCTTGTCCTTCGGGGACGACCCCAGGGGCTCGCCCTTGCGCGGGCGGGGCGACGATCCGCTCGAGACCCAAGCGGGCGCGACGGCTGCAGGGCGCTTAGCGACGCAGGCCATGGCGCGCGAGGCGGCGCGGGCGAACGGGGGCCAGGCGGATGCCCCCGCAGACTAGCGGCGACGACCCGGGTTGGCGATGGCGCAGTCAAAGGCGCCAATGACGCCCCAGAAAATTGCAATGGAACCGCGACCAGGCCGGGCGGATGGGGGCGAGGCAGAAATGGGGGGGGGGAGTGGCGGCAACGGCGGCAGTTTCGAAGAAGCCACTGGGGCCGCGAGCAGGCAGGGGGGTGGGGCGAGGGAAGCAGGGGGGCAGCGACAAGCGCGGCGACGACGTCGGCGGAGACGACGCCGACGATGGCAACGATGACGGCGACGACGAAGCAGGGGGCCCATGGCGACTGGGCGACGCGTTTCAGTCTGAGACGGTCACAGCGAACGCATGCGCGCTTGCGAGTCCAGGGGCCGATGTGTTCATGGGCGAGCTGCTGACCCAGACCCCCGACGTCGTGATTTTTTCATGACGTCGACCCCCAGAGGTCTGGACCCTTTCTCGGGACCGGTTTTTCATCCTGAGTCATTTTTTGACGCTCCCGTGGCCCGGTGAGGACCTCCAGAGGGGGAAAATAGAGAAAAACCTTCCGTCGTGATTCTTTCACGACGCGAGGGGGTCTGGGGAGGGGCGCTGAAGGCCCATCTGGGATTCGGTTGCGCCCGCCCCCATCCGAGGCCGAGCAGGCGGCGCCGCCCGCCCAGCCGTCGCTCTGCGGGGGCGCGAGCGCGGCCTCCTTTTCGCGGGGCCCCCCCGAGGGAGGCCGCCGCGCCCGCCCCCTCCGCGCCATCAGGGGTTCGAGGAGGCGCCGCCGCGCCGCCCTCGCCCTGGGGCGGCGGGCGCAGACGACGCAGACGCCGCCGCGGCCTGCCGCTGAGCGGGGGAAGGGGAGCTGTCGATGTCGAGCGTGCCCGACGAGGCAGCCGGCGTCTTGGGCTTCTGTGTCTCGGGGGGCTCCAACTCCCTCGTCGCAGCGATCTTGGCGCGCGGAGGGGCGGCCGTCGCCTTTGCCTTGGACTTGACGGCATTGCCCACGAAGGTCTGTTATTTCTGCAACAACTCGTCAATGTTTGGCGGCGCCGTGAGATCCCCTGACTTCCGCAGTCCGCAGTCCGCGCAGTCGCCTGCCCCCTGCCATTAAGTAGTTGTCAGAGCCGCAGATCGACCAGCGCTGGGCGTCGGACCCCCCAGACCCCGAGGGCGCGCCAGCGCGCGTGATCCTTGCGTTCGCCCAGAACCGCGCGCGCTTCGTGAACGCCATGGCGCAAGCGCGGGCGGCCTTCTCGTGGAAGGCCAGTCTGGCGAGGTCGAAGAAGTCGCCGAACTCGACGGAAGGCCAACAGTCATCCGTCACCACTCTGGGATCGCACGCCTGGCCACCGACGGCGCGCGGCTCGCCCTCGACCTACTTAGCGGCCCCTCACTGCGCCCGGCGCGCGCACTCGAACTGGCCGACGCCCAGTAGGGCCTCGACTATTTTGGGCGGCAGCTGGTTGAGGGATCCTTCATCCAAGAAGGCGCCCACGGTGAGGAAACCGCCCCCCCCCCCCCCCCGCGTCGATCTCGGGGGTCACGCGGGCACTCGCGCCCTCGGGGGCCAGAACCGTGGACGCGGGCGCTTCGGCGGCAGAGCGCGAAGAGATCCGAGCGGCCCAGGGGCGCCTTCCCGAAATTGAAGTTCGGCTCTCCCATGAGCACGAGGGGGCCGAGCGGGCCCATGACCTCCGCCATCGCGTCTCGCGCGCACGGCTGGAAGCGTTCCTCCGCCAGGGTGATGCGCCGCTTGGTCTATCTGTTCGCGGGCGCGCCATCCGCCGCGAGGCCGCCCAGTGCCTTCGCAAGGGGCCAGCCGTGGAGGGGGGCTTCTTTGCGCGGCGCTTCCGTCAGCCATGCCAGCTGCTCGAGGTCGGCCGTGGAATGAGGCGCGTTATGCTGGATGTACTTGAAGCCCGCGCTTATATCCTCGTCCGAGAGCTCGTAGAATCCGTTCGCCTGGGCAGCAGTCTCGACGTCTGGCGAGAGGAAAAAAGGCCGAAACTGTTTCCCGCCTAGGCGCTCGATCTCGAACTGCCAGACCTTGATCATTACATTTTGCCAATCAAAACCCCTCCCCCGCCCGACTGTGGGCCAACCCGGGACATGCCCCCCCTTGGCATCCTTGTCAAAAACAACAGACTGATTTTTGTTTCCAAATCTCGAGCATGCGCGAGCGCTCCGTGACCACTCTTCATTCGTTTTTGACAGGCGCGGCGGGGGTGCCGGCATGCTGTTTGTTGCGAACAAGTTGCGCATGAACCGACCGCCCTTGTGAAAAAAACATGCAGGATGCATTTTTGCCTCCAAATCCAGAGCACGCACGGGCGCCCCGCGACCATTCAGCGGGCGCCCCGTGATCACTCTGCCTTGGTTTTTGAAATGGATGGCGGGGGTGCCGGCATACTACGCGATGCGCGCAGGCCAACCATCCCTGTCAGAAAACAATGCAGGATCCACCCGGTGACGGCTGTGCAACGGCGCAGTTCGCACACATTGTGCGCGTCGAGCACATGGCGCGACCGGAGCACGTGGCGCATTTCGCGTTCGTGGATCACGAGCCGCATTTGCCGCCCCGAGCACACTTGGCCCTCCAGGGTGCCTGGTTCACCTGAACCCGTGGCGCACATGGCATGCATGGCGCTCTTCGACGATGTGCTGAGACTCGGGTATTACTTATGTGTTGGGAGAGCGGGCGGGAGTGAACAAGCCGGCTCGCCGTCTCGGGGGGGCTTCGACCCCCCCCCCACGCACGCCCACCCCACGTTGCATGACCGAACAAGAAAGAGCGAGCGCCAGGTTGTAAGCTTCCGTGGGCGCGGGAAAACTTTCCAACCATAGGCCGCAACGCCATCGTTTTCTTTTGTTTGGTCGCGCACTTTGGGGTTCTGGAGAGCGAGCTTCTTGGCGCCCCCGAGCGCCGTGCTGGCGAACATGGCCGCCTTCGCTTTGTTGGGCAAAATGCAATTCTTGATGACGGTTTCCGCACCGTCGGGGCCGTCGAAGATGCACATCTGCACGGTCATGTGGCTGCGCGGCGCCGCCTTGAAGCCGAACGGCGGCGGGAGCTGATGGTAGTCGTCGTTCTTCCACGTCGCCTTGTGCAGCTTGTCCAGTTCGGGGGGAGTCGGGTTTGCGCAACCAGTGGTGAAGTCGACGTAGTGAACAAGAGGGTTCTCGTTCGCCCCGACGTCGCTGGCAAGTTCTAGGAGTGGTTCCAGCTCGCACCTGGGCAGGGCGGCTGTCACCATAGGGGGCAGGCAGAGGGCGGCAGAACCAACCCTCGGTCGCAGTTGGGAGGTTTTCGCACGCGGACGTTTCACGCCCTTGAACGACGCGGCAGGTTAGCCAGAGGGCGCAAGCGTTTTTCTGACATTGAGCCACAAACAGCTAGGCATGTCGCAAAACACGTGCGACTAGATGGACGCGCGTCCGGGTACAATGTTGGGACCCCGTTCGGGGGGGGAGTCCCACCTGTTGGTTGCTTGCGTGGTGTCGTCACTGCTGATGGCGTTGATGGTGTTGTTAGTGCCCACCACGGGGGCAGCCTTTTGTTTGGTTGCCCCTGCGAGTAGCGCCTTGAGCGTGTCCACCACGAGGGCCATATTTTTTTCGCATGCCATCGTGAGCATCACCGTGGACGTGTTTCTCATTGGTGGCGTCGATGGTTGCTGGCGTGGTGTCGTCACTGCTGATATTGCGCAGCGGGCTATGTGGGTGTCCGCCGCGGCGGTAGCTTGCGGTTGAGCCCAAACAGCTACGATCTGAAAACCGCAGGTGCACTTGCGGCGAAGTGGCCGTGTCTTGGGACGCAGCGCGGGAGGGAGATCGGGTCGGGAGAAAGGAGGGTAACAGGGAGGGGGGTACAACGTCTGTTGCATTCCGCTGGTGTCGTCCTCGCCGCTGGGCGCTTTCCTTGGGACACTGGCGCCTCCAGCGCTGGGGGACGCCAGGGAAACCAGCTGCATGAGCCGACTCGCTGCGCCCCTCCCCCCCTCCCCCCTAACTGTGAGCAGTAAGTAGTGCAGTGCGCCTTCGTGCTAATGCGGGCCGTAAAGGTCCCTCTTGGACGATTGGTCCCGCAAGCTTGCCCGAATGGGGCGTTGAAGCTACCAGCATCATATTCACCAGCTTCGCCAGTGAGACAGGTGAGCCAGAGGAGGAAAGCAGTTGGGCAGGTCTTGTCACATCTTGTCTTGCCTTGTCTTGCCTTGTCTTGTCTTGTCTCGTCTTGTCTTGTCCTCTGGTTCCTCCTCCTCCTCCTCCTCCTCCTCCTCCTCCTCTATTTTCCCTCTTCCGTACTTTTCCACTCCTTCCTCCGTTCCATCATCTTTTCTCCCGCTTCCCCCTCCCACCTCCTCCCCCTCGTTCCCCCTGTAAGCCTCATCCTCGTCCCATCTCGTCCCCTCTCCTTCCCTGCCAGGATACTTGACTGTTGGACCATTGAGGGCAAAGGCTGCGGCTACCTGCGCTTCGCCTCGAGAGAGGCGGCCCAGGTCGCGATCGAGGAGCTTTCGGGCCGGAAGGCACGTTCAGCGGGCCCGCCGCTCCTGTTCCCCTTCGAGGAGAGGAGGGAGGACGAGGACGGAGGACGGAAAACGGAGGGAGCGGGAGGAACGGAACGACAAGAGGGAAAGATGAGAAGAAAACGACGAGAGGGAGGACAAGGAGGAGGAAGAAGGGCGGAAGGAGGGAGGGAGGAGGATGGAGGTAGAGGGGGGGGAGGATGGAGTGGATTAGGAGGAGGAGGATGGAGGTAGAGGAGGAGGAGGAGGAGGAGGAGGAGGAGGAGGAGGAGGAGGAGGAGGACGAGGACGAGGAGGAGAAGGAGGGGGAGGAGGAGGAGGAGGAGGAGGAGGAGGAGGAGGAGGAGGAGGAGGAGGAGGAGGAGGTGGCGTGTGCCCACTGGGGCGGGCGGAGTCACTATCTCCAAGTAGTTCCGAGAGCCGTGCCCGCCCGCCCTCACGACTCGGGGCAGCCGTGTTTTGCGAGGCCTGGAGCAGGGCAGGTACAAGCAGGGGAGAGAATGGTTTCTCCTCACCGAGCCTTGGCACCCCAGCGATTTAGATACTCCAGATTTCGTAATAAAGGGCGGGGGGTCTCATTTCGGGGGGGGTCTCTTCCATGCTATCTTGGAGGGCCTGGGGGGTTCTGGGGACGATGTCTTGGAGGGTTCTCCAACGGGGGGGATCTAAAACTTCTCGTCTGGGAGGGTTGTGACCCCCTCCCTTTTATTACGAAATCTGGAGTAGGAGTGGTCAGGGCTTGGGCCAGCGACCCCCACGTGGAGAGCACCCTGTCGCGGGCCCTCCGGCTGGATGTCGCCCCCAGTCGGAGGTGACCAAAAGGTCGTCCTAATGGGTGCTCTCCCGTGGTTTTGGCTTGGACCCTGATTTCAAGGGCTCTCGTGGGAACCTCGGGAGCGCTTGGTGAGTGCGCAAGAGGAGAAGGAGGAGGAGGAGGAGGAGGAGGAGGAGGAGGAGGAGGAGGAGGAGGAGGAGGGGGAGGGAGGTAAAGGAGGAGGAGGAGGAGGAGGAGGAGGAGGAAGAAGAAAGGGGAGGAATGTAGTGAGGAGGGTACAGGGAAAACGAAGAGGATAAACATTGATGAGGAGGATGGAGGGGTGTAGATGATGAGAAAGGAGGGGCATTGAGCGATGATGGTGATGGAGGCGGGAGGCGGGACAGGACGGAGGTGGCTGTAGAGGAGGAAGGAGGCTTAAGGCAAAGAGGAGAGAGATGACGGATGAGGAGGAAAAGGTGCGAAAAGAAGGGAGTGAGGGAGGGAGGGAGGGAGGGATAAATCGTCGATCGCCAACGCCAGGTGACGGGCTGGAAGAAAGCCCTCAACGCGACTTGGGCCAGACCGCCCCCAAGAGGACGCGACCGCCACAGGGCGGGGGACGTCGAGAGGCACCGCGGGGTGGCGCGCCACCGTCGTCGGCATCGTCGTCGTCGTCGTCGTCGCTGTCGCTGTCGCTGTCGCCGTCGTCGCCATCGTCGCCGTCGGAGGGGGACGGAGGAGGAGAGAGACCAGTGTAAACCCAAGACCCATCAAGTATGTTGGAATACACCCTCCCTCCAAGCTCAATTTTCGTATGTCCCTACCCACTGAGGGGAATACCCCGTTGGGGGACAATCGTGCGAAATTCCTGAAGCGTGTCACAACACCATTCTCAGAACATCAACGCCACGAGTCAACCTGACGGTTGCGTCTTGACGTTCCTGAATCGTACCAGAGCATCATTATTGGGACTCCAACGCCGCGAATCAACGCAGCTGTTGCGCCCTGACAGTCCTGAACCGTTCCAAAACACCACGGCTGGTACGTTAACTATGAGAATCCTTGAAACCCTTGCAAATGTTTGAAACGAATGTGCGCGGCGCTAAGGCAAGAGCCACATCTTGAAAAGGAACAGCCCTGAATATACTAATGTCTTGCATTGTCTTGGAACGAACGTGTGTGTCGCTCAGTCGAGTGCAACGTTTGGAAATCCACCTGCCCTCGACCAGTGAAATGTTTCAAAATGTGTGAAACGATGCGCGGCGCTGATGCGAAAGTCACATGTCTTCAATCCGTGAAGCTCTTGCAGTTTTTCACAAGTCATCCTGTGGTGTTGGGTCATCGTTTTGAAAAAAGCGCACCGCTCTCCTCCTCCTCCTCCTCCTTCTCCTCCTCCTCCTCCTCATTATCCTCCTCATCCTCCTCCCCCTCCTCATCCTTCTCCTCCTCCTCCTCCTCCTCCTCATCATCATCATCATCATCATCACCATAATCATCATCATCATCATCATCATCATCATCATCATCATCATCATCACCAGCATCAGCATCAGCATCAGAATCATCATCATCACCACCACCACCATCATCATCATCATCATCACCATCATCATCATCATCATCATCATCATCATCATCATCATCATCATCATCATCATCAGGCCCCACCGAAGGCCCTAGCGGCAGCGTCCGCATGGCGCACCCGCACCCGATTCGGCACACCCCTCACACGCCGTGTGCTCCCCAGCAGGAGCTCCACCGCAGGCCCCGGCGGCAGCCCCCGCATGGCGCACCCGCACCCAATCCGACACACGTTTCGTGGCCGCCCCACAGAAAGCCCCACCGAAGGCCCCAGCGGCAGCGTCCGCATGGCGTACCCGCATCGAACTTGGTAAACCCCTCACACGCCTGGTACCCCCCAGCAGGAGATCCACCGCAGGCCCCAGCGGCAGCGTCCTCATGGCGAACCCGCACCCACTCCGACACATCCCTCATATGCTTCATGGCCCCCATAAGGGGCTCCACCGAAGGCCCCAGCGGCAGCGTCCGCATGGCGCACCCGCGTCGAATTCGGACCCCTCACACGTTTCGTGGCCCCAGTGGGAGCCCCACCGCAGGCCCCAACGGCAGCGCCCGCATGGCGCACCCGCACCCGATTCGGCACACCCCTCACACCGTGGCCCCGCAGTGAGCTCCACCGCAGGCCCCAGCGGCAGCGTCAACATAGCATACCCGCACCCAAGTCAGCACAACCCCTCACACGCCGTGCGTCCCCCATCAGGAGCTCCACCGCAGGCCCCAGCGGCAGCGAGCGCACGGGGTACCCGCACCCTATCCGACACACCCCTCACACGTGTCGTGGCCCCACACGGTGCCCCACCGAAGGCCCCAGCGGCAGCGTCCGCATGGCGCACCCACACCTGATCCGGCACACCCCTCACACGCTTCGTGGCTTCATATGGAGCTCCACCGCAGGCCCAAACGGCAGCGTCCGCATGGCGTACCCACACCCAATTCGGCACACCCTTCACACGCCTGTTGCCCACCCTTACGGAGCTCCACCGAAGGCCTTCACCTGCACGCTATACTCGCAGCTGCATATGGGTCCTTCAAAATCAAGTCAAGTAAGCCTTGCACCGGCCGGTGCGTGAGCAAAGTGAAACGTCAAAAAAAGGCGTTGCGCCGGTTTCACTAAGGTGACTCAGAGAAGGAGGAGGAGGAGGAGGAGGAGGAGGAGGGGGAGGGGGAGGGGGAGTGGGAGATCTAGCACCAGACGGTGCACAAGCATGAAGCACGCAAAATGGATAAGCGACCGGTCAGTCGCGCCATGCTTTCACCGCCGACTCCCACGCCGCTGCTGCACCAGCCTCCGGCCAGAAGAAATCAGCTAAGCGGCCACGGGTGCCGGCTATTCTCAAACAGTTATTCAGAACCAAGTTGCCCCACATCTGTCGGGGGCGCCCTCGTTTGCGAGGCCCTGTCGGCAATCGCGGTTCAATGCCGCTGGGCTGTAGGACGGAGCATCGCACAGGGTCGTTGCAGGGTCGCCTCGCGAGCTGCCCTAGGAAAACCATTTGTCGCTTAGCAATGGCTTCGCTCAGCGGCCTTTCGCCGGCCATGCTCAGTACGGCGTTGTTGGACACGCGACTTATATACGAAGGTTGCACTCTGTAAACCCGTCTTAAACACCTGGTTTGAAATCCGTCCAGCCTCTTCCGCTCTGATTTGTTCAGGCAAGCGGCGAAAAGGCAGCAGCATCATTTTGAAACGATGCATGCGTTAAAATATTCACTTTTTGTTCCCGAGACAATATTGCGTGAGACCAGATTGCATGCAACACATTGAAATATTGTTTTGCCGCGCCTAATCTCCGATTCAACTCAGAGCCACTACGGCCGTCTGACGAGATGTGAGCCCCGAGATACAGCAAGGCCTCCTTTTCTTTCACCGTGTCTTCAACGCTGTTCACTACGTGTGCGTCTGAGCGGACTCTCATCATTTCCACCTTGTTCCAGCTCAAGCTCAGGCCGTACTGCTTCCCGCACTCCTCCACGCTGGACATGAGCTCCTGCACGACGACAGGGCTCGCGTCCATCAAGAGCGTGTCATCGGCGTACACCAGGTCTCGCACAAAGTGCGCGTCGGGAATGTCTGGCAGTCGCCTGTGTAGCCGAGCGTGCGCATCCTCCAGCAGCGTCGTCATGACGATGGTGAACAGGAATGGAGACAGCGGGCACCCCTGGCAGATACCGAACCTTTCCCGCCGCTCTCTGGATGATGAGCCGAAGTCAGACACAACGAATTTTCTGTCCTCGTAGATCGCCTTCACCATGTCTACGAGCTTGGCAGGGCACCCGAACCGCCGAAGCGATGTCGCCATTGCTGCGGGTGACACGGAATCGAAAGCCTTCGCCCAATCAAGCGCCAGTAGGTGGACGGCCCCCTCCTTCGTGGCCCACGCGTCCTCGAGCACCTTCCTGGCCACGAAGATCGCGTCCGAGGTACCGCGCTTGGACCAGAAGCCGAATTGGGTGGGCCAAATCTTGTCCTCTGCACCCGCGTCCTTCAGCCTCTGTAACATGATCATCGCGAAGACCTTGTACCCTATCGGCAGCAAGCTGATCGGCCAGTAATTGTCGCAAACTGCAGGGTCGCCCTTTTTGTAGATCATGCGAACCCGCGATTTGTGCCATGCGTCTGGCACCGCTGCCTGCGACCAGACCACGTTACAGAAACGTGTGACCCATGCAAGGGCTGGCTGTCCATCCTCAGCAGACGCTTTCCAGAATTCGGGTGGCAAGCCGTCCAAGCCGCCCGATCGTTTGTGTTTCAGTCTGCGGGCGGCTCGCTGAACCTCCTCGTCAGTGACGATGTCCAGGTTGAACGGCAAACCAGCTTGACTCGCAGGGCCTTCCGGCAGCATTGTCGTAGGCCGCACGGCCCACTGCACTGTCTCTAAGTGCTGCGCAAGTGTATCTGCCCTGCGGTCTCTGTCCACCAGCTCGCCCTCGTTCGTGCGAAGTCTTCCCTGGGCATGCTGGCGGCCCTTGCGCAGTCTGCGGATCTGTGCCCAATCTCCCTTGTCTCTGGCCACAGAAGCTCGGATTCGTTTCGCTATGTCACGCTCTCGCGGGGCATCCGCGCCCCGCCTGGCCCGATACCGCAACCGCACGAGTTCCAACGTGCTGCTACTGATCCATGGTTTGTGGGGGCGAACCGGCTCCTGCGGCAAGACAGTCGTCTCCGCATGTACAAAGCCATCAACCATTCGGCACCATGCCAGGTTCACATCAGAATCGTTCGGGGAGGCCTCTTTGAGAGCGCCCAGTTGGGTTGGGTCTTCGTTTTGAATAGATAGCGCCCGTCGTTCCTCACCTCCCGCCCTTCCTTTTGGCTGCCACTTTTCGTCCACCGCTTCGGTTCACGCCTCACACGTTTCGTGGCTCAATGGGGAGACCCACCGAAGGCCCCAGTGGCATGGCGCACCCGCACCCATGTCGGCACACCCCTCACACGGTTCGTGGTCCCATAAAGGGAGCTCCACCGAAGGCCCCAGCGGCAGCGTCCGCATGGCGTATCCGCACCCAATGTCAGCACACCCTTCACACGTTTCGTGGTCCCATGGGAGGTCCACCGCAGGCCTCAGCGGCGGATGGCGCACCCGCACCCGATTCGACACAACCCCTCACACGGTTCGTGGCCTCACACGGAGTTCCGTCGAAGGATCCGGTGGCAGCGTCCGCATGGCGCACCCGCACCCCATGTCAGCACACACCTCATTCGTTTAGGGGCCCCATACAGGGAGCCCCACCGAAGGCCCCAGTGGCAGCGTTCGCATGGCGCACCCGCGCCCAACTCGGCACACCCCTCACACGTTTCGTGGACCCACAGGGAGCTCCACCGAAGGCCTCCCGCGGCAGGGTCCTCCTGGCGTAGCCCCCACTCGATCCGGCACACACCTCCACGACCTGCGCGCGTCGCTGGGACTCTTTCGGGGCGGCCGGCGCGCATCGCGGGAACCCCGCGCTGCACTCTGCCCCGGGCCGCGGCCGCCACGGCGCAAGGACAAAGAGGGCAGACAGACGAGGGAAGGAAGTGGAAGCAGAACGGCCGCGCCTAGGGTTCGGTGCACCGCGGGCCAGGCGGGCAGGGACGCAACGCACGACGGAAAGCAGGGGAGGTGAGAAAGAGCTTGGGAGGATATGGACGTGAAGCGGCGGCGCACGGGGCTCGCACCAAGCGGGGGGAAGACTCCACGCTCGCCCATGTCCGCTTGTCTCCCCCGCGCATCACTCCTCTTGCCTGACCCTCTCCTCCCTCTCGCCTGCTTCGTGATGTTCGCAGCTAGAGGTGGTTGGGTTCTTCGCCAGGACCTTTGAAACGGATGTGCGCGGCGTTCAGGCGAGAGCCACATTTTGAAAACCACCCGCCTTTAATCAGTGAAATTGTTATTTCTTTTTTACAGAAACAACGAATGCGCGCGGCGCTACATTTTGATAACGATTTGCCCCCAATCCACGAAATCTTGATAATTTGTTGAAACGAACGTGCGCGATACTAAGGCGAGAGCCACATTTCGAAAACGACCTGCTCTCAATCAGCGAAACTCGTGAAATCTGTTAACACGAGAGCGCGCGGCGCCACGGCGAGGCCCGGCCCGCCCTTCCGACTGGCCTCGGGGTTCGACAGGGAGGAGTTAATCATAAGGAGAAGGAATGGCGGTGTGCAAGCCCCGAAAGGCCCTGGCGATGCTCACGAGACGCCCCCCAAGCAGGCCCGCATGGCGCCCCCAAGAGGCCCCACTAACGCTCCTCAAAGAGATCCAGAGAGCCCCGGGAAAGACGAGAGTGACAATGGGTAGAGGAGGAGGAGGAGGAGGAGGAGGAGGAGGAGGAGGAGGAGGAGGAGGACGAGGAGGACGAGGAGGAGGACGAGGAGGTGGAGGAGGAGGAAGAGGAGGATGAGGTGGAGGAGGAGGAGGAGGAGGAGGAGGAGAGGAAGGAGGACGAGGACGAGGAGGACAAGGAGAACGAGGAGGAAAAAGAAGAGGAAGAGGAAGGCGAGGAGCTGGCGGAGCAGGTGGAGGTGGCTCCAAGATGGCCCCTCGGAGGCGGCAGGAGCGCCCACCGAGCACCTCGATGCTGGCCCACGTGCCCGCAGAGCCCACAGACAGCCCCGAGGTGAGCTATTTCTCCCAGCCGCATCGTCCTTCATCCCTTCTTCGTGCTTCCTCCATCGTTTCCTTCCCTCTTGCCTTAACTCAAGGGCATAAAAAAAACGCCCCTACCCTGGTTTACGAGGCGCTGTGCGCTGAAACTCCTGTGGGCTGACAGGGTAAACCCTGCGTGATGTGCCGCGTCCTGGCGGCTCTAGGCTTTGGGGGTTCCGGGGTTCCCAGGAGGTTTACAGACCACGCACTTGTAACCCAGGGTAGGGTCGTTTTTCCATCCCTCAATTAAGGCGGGCATGTCCCTCTACAGGAGGAAGATGCAGAAACCGTCCAACAATAGTCAGGGGGCGGTGTTTGATACTCTTTGGGCAATGTGTTATTCTTTTTGTTTCAATCGTTTTGATTTGTCGTCCAAAATCCGCCTGTAGGGGAACATGCCCGACCTAACTCTTGCCCCGTCTCACCACTCCGTCCCTCCCCTCCCTCCCTCAACCGTGGCATGTGGAGGGCGCAAAGGCGGGGGGGCCAGCAACTGCGAAAAACATGCGCCTACACATACGTATGCTGCAGTAGTGAGCTGCACATGCCTCACCGGAGAACTAATCCTGATAACTAGCGTCTTCCACAACGAACGCATTGGCTTCGACACCCACCGTTCCCGACCATTCTGGCACTGTCCGCAAGCAACTGGAATTCGATCGCGCGCGAAGCCCGCGCGATGGTTCTAGTGTCAACGCCGCAATACGCTCTGAGCGAACCAGCCATAAAGCAGTACAGCATTTTACAGATTGGATCCCTGCGCGTGCAAACATCACGCGGGAGAGGCTGGAACCGCGCGGCGGCCCTCGTCAGGAGAGGACGAGAGTGGTTCCCTGGGGGGGTCCACGCATGGGGCTCCTGGAGCGCGTCCAGTGGGGGAGGAGGGTATGTCAGAAGCAAAAGCGATGAGGAGCAGGCGGAGGAGGAGGTGGAGGAGGAGGTGGAGGAGGGGAAGGAGGAGGAGGTGGAGGAGGAGGAGGAGGAGGAGTTGAAGGAGGAGGAGGAGGAGGAGGAGGGTCAGGGAGGGTTGCCCTCCCGCGGCCGTCCGTCCGTGCGCGCGCGTGCCCTGTGAGGCCTGCCGCGGACCCGAATCAGCGCGTGAGCCTCTTCGTGGGCCAGCTGAAGCGCCTGGAGCGGTGCAGCGAGAAGGAGAAGGCCGACTTCGAGGACGGCGCCGCCTGCTCTGCGATCCCCCCCCCCCCTCCTCCCGCTCCGCTTTAACTACTCCTTTTCCCCCCTGGGCCCCCTTTCTCGCTTCTGCGCCGCCCCTGCTCCTTCCTCCCGCCCCTCTCCCTGCCTCTGCTTCTCCCCTGCCCCCTCGGCTTCGTTGGCTGGCTTGGCTCTGTTGGCTGCGTTGGCTTTGTCAGCGCTGTATGCCCGCAAGCGCTGTTACTGCAGAATTGTGTTACCACCGATTTCTGGAAGTTGCTCTGCCGGAGCGCCGTCGCGGCAGGGCCTTCGCAATCCTGCGGGCTCACAGAGGCCAGGCACCAAGTCTGCAGCCCAGCTTCGCCAACTCACTGGGCGAGCCCGAAACCATGACCACGAGCGCAAAGCGCGCTCAGCACTCAACCGGCTCAGAGGCCAGCAACATATGTACGCGTACGCGGTTAGTTTCCCCTGGAGGGCGTTTGAGCGAGGACGCTTGTGCACTCAAGACCGCGGGGGGCGTACATGTACATATGTCGCTGCTCGCTCACAGGCGTCGCCATCGTTGCGATTGTCATTCTTGCCCATGTTGAAGGACGGCACGGCCGAGGAAGAGGCAGGCAGACAGCCCCGAGTTGGGCGGCAACGGGATTTAATATAGGTGATCGTTGTTTGATTCCATTGTTTTGCCGATGGGCGCGGGCCCGCCCCCCCCCCCCATGGAGTAGATCTTGGCTGTTGTTTGGCGCCTGCTCCCCCCCCAGAGGCAGCACTTTTGCAAACAGTCGCGCCAAGCAGAGGTCTGGAGCCAGACCCCCTCCCCACCCCCCCCTTTCCGCCCAGTGTCGAAACGCCGGATAAGAAAAACGCTCACATCTACAAAGCAAGCCGGCCAACCATAAGGCATTCATAAGCTTGCCTTTCGACATCGACCAGCTTGAAGACGTTAGGGATGCAATAGAGCTAGGTCGTCCCAGCAGGAGTCCATGCGCAACGGTGACCTTCCATCTGGGGCGCGTCCCGTCATGTGTCGATTACAGGCGCAATCATGAGTGACAGCGTGGATTTCTGCTGCGTCTTGAACATGTCCACAATACGGGATGCTTAAACAAATTGCAATTCGAGCGCACGATAAAGAACAGAAGGGCTGGGCATGATTGTGCTAAGTTCCAGAGGGAGGAGCCACGCCCACGGTCCATTCGCGAGAAATCTATCGCGACTTGCGTGGCCGTGGAGCAATTTCGGTGTTCGGTATTTGAGTTCTTGGACATGGAGGCCGGGGAGACAAGAGAGAGGAGAGAGAGAGAGAGAGAGAGAGAGAAAAAAAAGGCAAGATGAATATTAACAACATGTTCGAGAAGCCGGTTCCTCTTGTTAAGATGAAGCTGGTGATCTATGGGGAGAAAGATGGTGACTGTGGCGGTGGAGGTGAATCTTATGATGTTGATGATGGCGATGATGATCACGACCATGATTATGATGATGTTGCTGATGATGATGGTTGCGGCAATGATGATGGTGTTGGTGTTGGTGCTCGGGATGGCGGTGATAATGGTGATAATGATGATGATGCTGATGATGATGCTGCTGCTGCTGCTGCTGATGATGATGATGATGATGATGTGCGCTCTTGAACTTTAGAAGCTGAAAAAGAGCCGCCTGATAATTGCATCTCACCTGTGGTGGGTGCCGTCGGAGTCCAGGAACCGAACGTTACATGTTTTAGACCTATTGACGCCCCTCTATCGGCGGCTTGCAGCACGACGCACTCGAATACGTGGTCCGCACTCCGCAGCATTTTTCTCTCGCGGTGCGACCAGAGGAGGCGTGAAATTCTTCCATCCTCCTCCTCCTCCTCCTCCTCCTCCTCCTCCTCCTCCTCCTCCTCCTCCTCCTCCTGGCCGGGTTCGCCCTCGGTCCCGCCTCGCGCGCTCTCGCGCCCCACGGTAGTGGCGTCGGCTGCGGAGGCGCCACTGGGGCCTGAGGCGCCCTCGGCCGAGGCCTGCGCCGTCTGGTTCCAGCCCGCTCCGCCGCGCGCGGGGCCGGCCGCGCCGAGCTGCGGCCGCCCTCCGTCGAGGAACGCGCCGCCGTGCTCTCGGGAGCGCTCGGCGCGGGCCGAGCAGGCGCCGGCGCAGCAGCTGGTGGCGTCGCTCGCGGGCCCTCTGCTGGTGGAGGCGCTGCGGTGGCGGATCGCCAGGCTGGGGCGCTGCTGGCGCGCCCGGGCGGAGCAGCCTCCGCCAGCGCCACGTCCGGCGCCTTCGGTCCTGCCAGCCAGCAGCCGCGCCCACCAGCAGCTGCTCGGGTTTGGCGTGCATAAATAATTGAGGGAGATGAGCTTCTCGTGGGGTGCGCAGTGCAACCGCCGCTGTTGCACGGCCGCGTTGTTGTGGGCATCTCTCAGGTTCGCCCTGCCAGCGCCGTGGTGGTCATGCCTGACAGCGACATGTACGTGGAGGCGCAGGCACCTGACAACCCAGACACTCGCGCCTGGTATCGGCGGGCTGCAGGCGGCGCCCTTCCGGCTGCGGCAGCCAGGATCCCCGTGTACGATTTCGCGCAGCCTTCACGCTCGCCGACTTCCACGCGCTGCGGCCAGCTGCCCTCAGGCTCGTGGCCGGGCACGACGCTGACCTGGCCGCTCGTGGAGTCGCCGGCGCTGTCGTGCCCACTGGGGTGCCCCCAGCCGCAGCTGCGGCGGCAGCCGTCCCCCCCACCTCCTGATGCAGCAGCGGGGTTGAGGGGCCTCGCCGCCGCGCTGGCGCCGCTGCCTGTCCCCAGGGCTCCTCCTCCGGCACTTAGTGGCGGCTGCTGCAGCTGCCGCCGATGCGGGTGCCCCTGCCCTGGCGCCCGAGGCCCCCGCGCCGGCCGCCGCAGGCGCTGGCGCTGCCGCCGCCGCCGCCGCCAGGCACGGAGGCCTCCACGCTGCCCTCGCGGGTGGAGCTGGTCTTCCGCCCGCGGTTCCGGGGGGGCGATTTCCGCGCGCGGGCCGTCTCCTGCGACGCGGAGGGCCGACGCCACAAGGAATTCCGCGACGCGGCCAAGGCCGTGCGCCAGCAGTCCTGGCCCGACTGAGCCGTGCCCGGCCCGTGCACAGTCGCGCGGTGCAAATTTTATGCTGGAGTACGGCGGGTCAGCAGTGGGCCACCACATTGCCTTCCGCTCCGCCTGCGGCCTCGGGCTGGACGACCCGATCACGCTGCTTCACTTCGAGATGTCGAAGATCTTCCAGACAGCGTCGTACAACGACCAACTCGACGCCAGCAATGTCGCTTCACTCGAACTCACGAGCTGCGCGAGGAGAGGTTCAAGGACACCCTACTCGGATATACTTGGGCTCAGAGGGCCAGCGCGACGAGAGCTACTTCTTCATGGGGTTGCAGACGCGGGGCCCCGGCGCGCCCGGCGCTCACCAAATTGATCGCCGAGCAGATCGCGGCGGAGAGCGCCGCGGCAAAGGAGCGCCGCTTGGCGCGCGAGGAGAGGCCTGGATCATGGCGGTGGCCAGTCGCCAGCGAAACATCTCCCCGCTCTCCCCGCTCGTCGCGCCCGCCAACCTGACGGGCGGCCCTCGTGCAATTCAGCGACGGCGCCAGCGGCTTCAGTGCAGCGCCAGGCTTGCCAACGACGCCATCGAGTCCGTCAACTCCCTGGTTGGCCGCTCCCACGACGGGCCCGCCCAGCTGAACACGGTCGCGCGGGCGATCGCGAAGGGGCGGGCGTTGGACAAGTGCGACGCGCTGGGGCCCAAGCCGCAGGACGTCAGCACCCGCGGGGGCCTTCGCGAGCTTCGCGGGAACGTCATCGCGCGTGGCGACCCCCCCTGGTCGTGCCCGACAATAGCGACTTCGTGCCCTGGCCCGAGACAGGCGCGGCGCCAGCGCGGCTGCCCGACGCGCTCGCCCTGGGGCACCACGCATGGTCGAGGGGTCCACTAGCCAACTCGCGTCGCAGCATCGCTGACACGGACCGCCTCCGGCAGGAGTTGAGCCCGGTGCGCCCGTGCTCCGACCCTGCCTCCCGCGTCGTCTCCAATTGCTCCGGCTTCATCAGACAGTTGCGCCCCCGGGACACGGCGCGCTCCGGCGCCCGCCGCAACCGGGCACCTTCATAGCGGCTGAGAAGAACGGGGCCCAGAGGGCAATCGCAGGTGCTAGGTGGGCCAACCCGGGCTTCGCCCCGCCGCCTCGGGCCCGGCTGCCGACGGCGGTCGCGTTCAGCCAGCTCGAATCGGCCGACTGCGACGTCTGCTATTTCTACCCTGAGGAGCTCGCCTTGCTATTATACAGGTGGCCCCTTAAAACAGTTGTGTCGCTTAAACTAGCTGCTGCCGCTTAAAAATAATAGAGATCGTTAAAAATAGCTGGTGCGCCATCATCATAAAATAAGCATCATGGCATCATCATAATCACAACATTATAACACCCTCATCGTGTATGCATAATGTATAGTGTATATTGCACAGTGATGACATGCGTGTGTATGCACAATCCTATATGTATGTGCATGTATATATATATATATATATATATACAAATGTCATATAGTGCATATGCACGCACGATGTGCACGCTGGTGATTCACTCGCCCGAGTATTATCATTCCAGTATTATTAGTAGTAGCAGTAGTAGTAGCACTAGCAAAAACATGAAGTAGTAGTAGTAGTAGTATTAGTACTAGTATAGTAGTAGTAGTAGTAGTAGTAGTAGTAGTAGCAGTAGCAGTAGCAGTAGCAGTAGCAGTAGTAGTAGTAGTAGTAGTAGTAGTAGTAGCAGCAGTAGTAGTAGTAGTAGTAGTAGTCGTAGTAATAGTAGTAGTATCGTAGTAGTAGTAGTAGTAGTAGTAGTAGTAGTAGTAGTAATAGTAGTAGTAGTAGTAGTAGTAGTAGTAGAAGTAGTAGTAGCAGTATAGTAGCAGTAGTAGTAGTAGTAGTAGTAGTAGTAATAGTAGTAGTAGTAGTAGTAGTAGTAGTAGTAGTAGTAGTATAATAGTAGTAGTAGTAGTAGTAGTAGTAGTAGTAG